TTTTATATTATTACTATATTATTATAAAAGTTTTAATTTTACTAATAAATATTTTTATTTTTAAATTAAAATAAAGATAAAATTACATATTTTAACATATTTTTTTTTCAGATTTTTAGATTAATTTAGTAAACTATTTTAATTTATATAAATTTATTTATTTTTTTATATATTTTATTTAAAATAAAATAATTGCCTTTATATATAATTAAAATAACTTTATTAATATAATTTAAGTAATTTTATAAGTTATTTTCTATTAATAATAAATATTCAAAGAGTTATATAAAATTTATAATAAAATTTAATAAATACAAAAATGAAAATATTTTAATTATTACCAAGTAAACTTTTAATTCTTGTTAAATACAATAATTTGTACTTATAAATAAGTTATAGCTCATATTTAAAGTTATAAATTAATATATATTAATTTTAAATCAAATTTAATTCAGACTTGAACTTGTATAAAAATTCAATTTGAATATTGAATCTTTTTTGAACTCAAGTCAAAGTCTAATTCAAGTTCAGTTTGAATTTTAAATTACTCGAATTCAAATAAAAGATTAATTCAATTTAGTTTATAAAAATATGATTTTTGGCAATAATAACTTAAATTAATTTTGCAAAATAATAATTTCAAACTTTAATTAACAATTATAATAAATTTCTGATTATTAATATTTTAGATCAAATTTCTATAAAAAATAAATGAAAATCAATTTAACAAAAAAAAATTAAAACAATTTATGGTTTAAAAATAGAACTTGCAAAAATATAGAATTTTTTCCATTTGAACTCGTTATAAAATTGATTAATAATATAAAATATCATAGAATTATATTTATAAATTCAAATAATAACTATATAATATATTAAATATTATAGTTAGTTGTATATCTTTAAATAAAAGAAATAAAAATTAACTTTGCTTATTTGTAAGAAAAATTAGAGATAGTTAGATATTTATAATAGCTATTATATCTTTTTATTTCTATTTGTTCAAAATATGAAAGTTTATTAATATTCTTATTTATATATTTATAATTATTGATTATTAATAATACTAGTAATATTAATTTTATATTTTCTAAATATAATTATTATTAAAAAAACTTGTATTTGATATTATATTATAAATAGGTTAATATTAATAAATTTGTATTAGTCATTACTGAATTTTTGAAGCTTATACCAAAAATAATTACTTAGTCTCAATTATAATATTTATATACAAATGCAATTTATAACGAATTACAAAAAATTAGTATATTGACACTTGGGATCTTTACAATAATTACAATCTGCTTGTTGTTATTCAAATTCAGCAACATGATCAATTTGTTTAAAATGCTTTCATATAATACTTTAATATTATTATTCATATAAATTGCAAACTATCTTTTCAAAGTCCTAATAACAAATTTTGAATGATCATATATCTACGTAAGTTAACTATTCTTTATACTTTTGTACTTATGAAATTCGTAATTGTCATAATTATACAGTCAAATCTATAGCTATCTTTATCGAGTCCTGAACTGTGACAAAATTTTCTATATCTTTAAATGCTGAAAGGTAAACTAGAGTTAGATAAAAGATATTCAAATTCTGACTCTTTAAATAGGAATCTTTTTTATACATGATCCTTGTTTTATTGATTGTTCACACTTTTCTGATCCATTTTTAATCATTTCTGACATATCTATAACAATAATTATGATTATCACTCAAATGTTTTTTCTTCATTTTTTTGTGTTCCTATTCCATTTCGATAGTAAAATTTGAGATTATTTTGTCCATTACCATTACCATTTTCTGATATACATTCTCACAATGTTTATACTTAGAATCGTGAGAATAAAGTTTGTCGAGTTAGGATCATTGTCTATTATTCATTATTGTATCATATCTAAATTTATTAATCGGATATATAATCACTTAACATTAAATTGTTCAGTTATTTGATCATCTGCTACCAATCAGGACACAGATCATCCTCCATATGATGTTTCAATTTCATTATACATGTATATCTAATAATAATTAGTAACTTTCAGCGTCTATAACTTTCCTCATATCTTGAATTTGGAAAAGAACTAATCATTATTGTGTTCGTCCAATCTCTTTCTATTAAACAATGATAAATTTCAGATAAAAAAATTGTTTGAGTAAACATAGTAGAGGTTTAAATTTTATGGTCATCTTTAGCTTGTATGCACTGTAATTAAAATATTTTCCTATACAAGAAAAATGCTAGATCATAATGACCAGAATAATAACTATATAAATGTTATAGAAAATTTCTGTTAAATTTCTCTTTTTCATTTCGTAGAATATTAGTTTGTGTGTCTTGTGTGTGAGAAATAAAGCAAAAGAATAGCCAGTTATTATTATCGTTATCATATCGATATATCACTATCGTTGAACATATTTGTATCAACTATCACATGATACTCACATGAAGTGTACTTATATGGTGCATAACATCTAAAGTCATCAAACGTTTGTGTTTTATAAAATGTATAAACATCTCTACTAAGAAGTAAATACAAAATTTAATCCGTGAATATGCTCAGAAAGAGCCTATTCTATCATATTCACGGATTAAATTTTGCATTTGCTTCTTTGTAAAAAAGTTTATACATTTTGTAAAATACAAACGTTTGATGACTTTAGATGTTATGCACCATAGAAAGTTAACAAAACTGGAGAATTGCACGTGCAAAATATAGAGGGTGTGCACTTAGCAATGTGGTCCAAGCTCGGGACCAGACCAGAGAGTGCATTTAAAGAGGGTGCGCATGCACTTGGAGAGATTTCTCTGTATATTTCTGAGAATCTAAGCTACAAAATGATTGTTCGCCAATGTCTTTTGGTAGGCAGGGGATATAGCAACAAATTATTTAAGGACGTTTTCGATAATATAATTCTAGAAGTTTATAAGATTACAATGAAAAACAAGTATTTTCACATTTGCGCTGAGAACTTGTATTTGATAAAAAACAATAGGAATATTAATATTTTAATCACTATAGCCAAATTTCAATAACGATAAAGCGATTTAACGTTAACGTCAATACGCAACCATCATGAAATCTGGATAGCGATTGCGTATGTATCTTAAAAGGAAAATAGTCTGTCATTTCTAAGTATCTGGAAAATAGTGTCAAAGGTATTATATAATCTACGTGTATATGTAATCTGGTTTAAAATTGACAATTTAAACAAGTATTAGATAATATTAAACATCTCCTGGGAAAGAAAATCTACACCCACACCGACGCTACGTTTTTACATGAATTTAAGGGGTAATTCGCGGCGAACCACGAACACCCCTAACCAAAAATTGTCCTGTCGAGATACCCGTTTAGGGTATTCGAAGCAACGGTCGCCAGCGCTGTGCAATGCCAGCAACCATCACTTGCCCAACTACCTTCTTGATCATAGTTGAACCCAGGCAGGTAAGTATGAAGAAATCAAAAAGCAGGAAACACTAATATTTATACAAAAATCAGCGGTTTGAGTTACCATTTTACAAAATGTGGGATTTACAGTTCGAGAAATATGATTGGTTGGTTACATTGATTTCATTTCCATTTTTAGCTCATTATCGTTATTGATAACGATGATTTACTCTGCGATAAATACGTGTACATGTAGTACACTTCTTGGCATACCGATACATAGCAATAGATAATTTTCAAATTCTTTTTGTAAAAGTAAGCGTTTTTTCGCGACGATACCAACAACAACCAGCGTAAACAAACATGTCGTCTTCATCCTACTCCCGTACTATTGGAATACGCTAAATAAAATTAAAATTTTTTAATTTTATAAATTTTCTGATAAATGGAGGGTTCGGTGAGGTCGTTAAAGCTGAGTTAATAAGATGAGGATTTAACTGTTGTTTTGAATGCCCTTTGTGTAAAAAAATAAACCATATAATGAAGAAATAAACAAACAGTTTATTGAGAATTGCTTATTCAAATCATTAATCACAACAATGTTATTCGTCTTTACGGAATCACTCAAGGTAATATTTTATCCTTTATATAGTCTCTTTAATATAATTTAATTAATAAAAAATATTCTTTAAATCCGATTTCTGAAAGGTACATGCTTGTTTCAAAATATGCTAATGGCGGAACCCTTAAAGAATATTTAACTGTTAAGTGGCAATGTGACAAACTTGCTAAAGGAGTAAGGTATATACATTAGGCAGGCATTATCCATCGATATTTGGTAAGAGCTTTATAGATTTTCAGTATCAACTCACGCTATAGCGATATTGACTCATTGATAGATACAGTCAACTCTTTCGAAATGCAGTTTCTTTTAAATAAATTTTATAGTGCCAGTTCCAAGAGTACATATCGGTATGTATTAAGAGAAATTCAATTATATTACATGTACAATAGTAATTCTATATACAGTCATGCTTTTCTTAATGCATAAAATTCATTTAAAAGAGATTGCATTTAGAGAGCGTTAACTGTACCGTTTTTTTGATACATGCCGTAGTAAAGTAACGTTTCTCCTGCCGTTCTATTGCAGCTATATTTCTCGACTCTCTTTTAAGAAATTTTTTACTTGTAAAAGTCTTTTACAATACTTATTCGAACTGGACGCTGTGTATTAGGAAAACATGACTTTATTACGACATATAACCAATTATACTGCTGCACATGAACTTGGATTTATCATTAATGACTAACAGTTCTAAGATTTATTTCTGTTGAACTTTTTATTAATAAATCATTCCAAGCTTTCAAATGATCAATCTCACTCGAAACCTATGTGTTGTTTTGATCACACATAAGAGATACATGTATATATGTTCATCAGAAAATAAATAAAATTTGCGAACTCCAGATGGAGTAAACAAACTACATATTAAGAGAATATAATGACAAACCTTTAGCTCCAGAAGTTAAGCCTGATAAGGATTAGATGTTAAAGAGTAATACATATGATACCCTCACTCAACTATTACCTCATTTTTCTTAATTTTCTTTTAACTAATTAACTTTTCTTGTAGAATGATTGACACCCTTGTTATTGTATGCAATGCGCCATGTTATTCGAATATTAGTGCTTTTATATTAATCTAGTTCTGAAAATGAAAATAATTCAGAAAACTAGAAATATGAAAAAATTGTTGACGAATTAATAAACTTTATCAACGCCAAATCATTTAATCAACAAAGAGGAATCTAGATAAGATAGCGATAGGTGCTGAATTACGATTGGCATAGTCAATAATTTTTTGAAATTCATCTAATGCCTGATATAAGTTACTTTTAGGATTTCTTTTTCAAACCGGATTCATAGTTGAAAAGAATGTTGCGTTAGGGCTGTGGCCAAAACTATTTTAACTACAAAATTTTTTTCCAAAATTTTATATCCGAAACTTAGTCCCTACTAACAAACAGTTTACGTTTAAGCAACCAGCCCTAATTAGCATTGCAACTTCTATGAAGTGATAATCTTTTAGCTCAATTCTTAGAATATATATTAAATTGGAATCAGAATACAAAAAAAGATTAGAAAAGGCAAGTAGTATTTAAAATCAGCAGAGAATTTTATTAATGAAATGCAAAAAGTGAGAAAATGCATTCGATTAACAGAGAATGGACAACTTAATTTTGGTATATGCCATGAAATAAAACCAGTAACAAAAAAAATTTGGCTTAAAAATCTCCAAATCTAATAAAAATAATATTACGTATTCAGTTTCACCCTATAGTAGATCCTCGGGTGTCAAAATGCAAATTTTAAATTAAGCTCTGATTTATTTTTTTATTGTACGCGACGTTAACATAAAATTGTAAGTTTGTACTATGTACATGTACTACGTACATGTGTTTACAATTTTATTTCTGTACACCTAAAACTGGACTGGATAGAATCGAAAATTCTGCATTATCATCCTGCACATTTATTTTTGGTTGAATATTTTAATAGCCTCTTTTATTGGTTTTTCAAGTGAAACAATTTTGCAACTTCTGGAATAAATAAAATTGAATACTGTATTTGATAGTCTGAGTACATGATCCAAAAATTTCGATTTTGCTAGATATTCAATTGTCACATTTCCTAAATTAGCAAAAAAACAGAATGAATATTCTTTCACAACAGACTAAACTGAATGAGATTCCAAATTCGACAAAATATTCCGGAATTACATATTTTGTTCATATAATGTTTTGTCCATCAGCTCTTGTAAAACTGTTTAGACGTTTCATTAAGGTATTTTAAGTCAATTTAAAAGAAATTTTATATTGATAAAAAAGTAAAACATCAAATTTGCATACCTAAAAACTTCTAATAACTCAGCAATATAAATTCTTTCTCTTTATAAATACATGACCAGAAATCACGAGTTTTGAAGTGAGTGGCATACAAATTGAGTTGTATGCTATTTTCCATCAATTAAGATATTCCATTGTTCTTGTAGTTGTTTTATTATCTATAATAATTTGATAAAGTCTGATTACAGAATTTACTAATAGATCTCCATCTTCAATTATTATACTGTAGATGATTTTGGTGAATATCACATTTTTACTTTTGAATTATGAATTTTTTTTTGAGTATATATATTAAATTTTTCTAAAAAAAGATAATTTATCATATATATAATTTGTCAAAAATCTGCTATTCTTTGTACATGTAATCTCATTTTGAAATTTTTTAATTTTTACTAGATATTAAATCAATAAATTTATACTAATCTGGCAAGTTTTTTTGAGTAATTATTGTTATCATTTCAACAAAAATTTCATAATTCCTTAATTTTTAAATTATCTAAATTAAATTATAGTGTATTATAATTTAATCCAATAATAATCATATTAATTTTTTCTTATATTTTCACTTTGCATACTATTATATAATTATAATAAGTATAAATTTTATAAATATCATATTTTTATTAATCAAAATTAAAATAATTATTAATAAATCATATTCTTATATATTTTCTAATTTATTTTTATTTTTATTTCACTTTTATTTCTCTTGTATTTTTCACTCAAAAATTAATAATTTTGCTATTGGTATATATTATATTTTATTCTTAATAAATATTCTTAATTTTTAGTTTATTATATTATTTAATTATATTCAAATTTATTTTATCTTTTATTTTCACTTTTATTTTTATTAATATTTTATTTTTAATATTATTTTCTTACATAATTTATTTTGTTTTTGAATTTTTCTTTAGAATCTTTTTTTACTGTGATCTTAATTTTTCTTGTTCTCATCATTAATATTCTCATAAATTTTTTCTTGTATTTTTATATTTTTATTTCTATTATTTTATATAATATTTCATTTATTTTTCAATCTTTATTTTTTTAATATTATTTATAAATCATGATATAATTCAGAATAAATATTAATTATATAAACTATAAAACTATTGAAAATAATTTCTCATTGCTAGAAATACTCAAGATTTGATCTAATAAAATAACAAAGTTCTTATTTATAATATTACTTATAAATACATTATTATTTTTATGTTTATCTTTAAAATCTTGATTATAAATAATAAATTCTTTTTCACTTTAAATAAGTCATTGACTTTATTTTAGTTTTATTATTTTTAGATCATGTTAATAAGTTTTATTTATTTAGTTAATTCATTAGTTTCAATAACTCTTGAATAAATAAAAATACTATTATTTGTTGATAAAGATTTATTAATATATTTATTAGTTATTCATACTATTGGTTATTGAAAAACAATTACAGAATTTCACTCTCTGATTTATTATAATCAATTTTTAGATATTGCTATTATCTCAAATTTATCAAATAATATATCAATTAAAATATTATACTTTATCAAATGTGATTTGTAAAATAATTATTTATTGCTCTAGATACTTATAAAAAGATTATCAAAGTACTTTGTTATTAAAAAAGCTTTTAACATTATTAATACATTTTTAAAACTTAAATTAGACTTTTATATAATTTAAAAAATCAGAAAATTAATCAAGTTTATAATAATTAATTATATATTATTATACTTTATTCAAATTGTTTTAATACTATTTGATTTAATTTATAATATTTATTATTAATTATAACTTGTTTTTAACCATAACTATTAATTATATCTTCCATAAAATTAATCTATGATAAGTTATATAATCTCAAGATTTTATACATAATAAACATATTTTTTTCTATTATCAAGATAGGATATTACTACTACTAATAAATATCTTCTTTATATTATTTAATATATGAATAGTTTTATAGCAATATAATACTGATATTCTATAGCAACCTGGTTAAATATACAGTAGTACACAATATGATAATAATTTTGATACTTTTAAAATATCAAATTAAATAGAAGAGATTGAAATAGTATTTTTTATAATTAAGTTGAATTTAGAATAAATTTGATTTAACTTTCTTTATTATTCTTTTATAAGTTTTTTATATATCTAAAAGAGTAAAATACTAACTATATGCTAAGCATATCCAAAATTATATTTTAAAAATCCAGTTAATAATAATTAAAAGCAAAGAAAAATATTTGAAAAGAAAGTTTTAATAAGCAAAATAAGAGTACAATCAAAATAAATGAAGTTATTTTTTTATAATATAATTAAAAATTTTTATGAAACAGATTATTTTTTAAAATTATCAAATTTGTCAAAAAAGTTTATACTAATTCAAGCATAATAATAGTATATAGTCAAATTTCTCTATAGTTACAACCATTTATAGTCACACCTCTCTATAGTCATCCTATTTTACTTTCACATTTATATATAAATATAGTAAAAAAATCTCTCTATAGTCACATTCTCTCTATAGTTATCAATTTTTGCTTTTCCTAAGAATAGTGACTATAGAAAGATTTGACTGTATTTATATTATATCAAAATTTTAAATAATCTAAATCTCAACCAGATAAAAACATTATATTACTTTTGCAAGCTCATATTATAAACAACAACAAGACAGAACAATAATTTTTTATATCTTTCTTACAATATTTTTTGAATGATAACTTCTCTGAATACTATAATAGTTAAACTATTATTATAAATAAGAAGAACAAAGAAATATTTTTCATGAGTTAACAAATAATATTACATTTTACTATTATTATCTTTATTATTTTGCTAATCTAAAGGATAATAATAATATTTTACATCTTTTAGAAGTTTTTCTTGATGAGTCATATTGTTATTTGTATTATATATTACTGAAAATATAGTTATCTCACAAGAATATTATTTTAATATAGAGACATGATCTGTTGTTAATAATTTTTGATATAATTATCTTTTTCAAAATGATAATAGTAACAAGATATATGATAAGCTTGTATTAAATTCTATTTATCTTTGGGATCCTATAATTAAATCTTCTGGAACTTGAAGATAAAAATAATATAATACTAAAGAATAAAATAATATTTCAGATATTATTAAAGATATTAATATTATTTCTGATCAAGTAAACTATTACAAAAACTCTAATACTGATATTTTTGAAAATCTTTTTATAACACTTTGTGAAACAATTAATAAAATATATAGTCAAGTAAATATTTATATAAATAGTACATGTTATTATAAGTAAAAAATTAAAAATGTTCCAACTTCAAGCACCAAAAAAAAGAAATAGCTGACTGATTAATAACTCATAAAATTTCTTTTTCTGATGGACTACACAAATCTGAGCTTCTAAAACTTGTGCAAAAAAAAACAAAGAAAAAGTTCTATTTGCTTGTGTTGAGATAGCAAAACAACATGATCATCAAGTTTTTTTACACCATCTTATCATTGTGAGCTTTAGCTGATTGAGGATATTTGAACAGTAATAAATATGAGATAGTGAAGTCAGATTCACATTCAAATCTCTTAGATGTTAAATAAGCTTTTAAAGAAAAAATAACATCAAAATAATAGTAGGATTATGTAAAGAGCAAAAAATATAAAGAATCAGATGATGATGTAATTTTATTGGATGAGAAAACAGATGATGATGCCGATCTTGATGATGATGATGAATTTTAATAAAATTTTTATAGTATAACAAATCCAAATACCTATTAGTTTTTTATTTTTTTTAAAAAAAATTTATATGTAAAAACTGTTTTTATTAAGATTATTGTGAGATATAGATATATTTAGCAATTGCTTGAGCTTGAAATTTAACGTTAATGATGTTTTACTGAATAACATACTAACGCTAATGTACCTGATAGAACACGTGATGAATAAAATCATTCAAAAAGTTTGTCAGACCCAAAGAATTTGATTGTTAAAGACCTTTTTAGATATCATAAATATTCAGTGCTCATTGGAACTATACGTGCTCCAGAATTATGCATGTTACGTCCTATATATTGTTCCATTAACCGATACTGACGACAAGATTTTTGATAAGGTAAAGTTCATATTTTTTTTCAATAATTTTACGTAAAGACTTGATAACAGTCACACGATTGTCATGTAAATCAGGGGGATAAAAATTGAACATATAATATCGATCAATTTAAAAATTAATATAATCACATTTTTGAATTTTTCGTCTAAAATCTCGGCCAAAACACTTATACCGTTAAATAAAGTTGTTGCCTGGATCTTCGCGAACAAAATGATACATGTATATAGAATACAACATCTTTGAAATCTGCGTTTATTTTGTCTTCTTTTGATTGATTATTCTCCAGTTCGCAAATTCTTGTCATGAAAAGTGGTTTACCAATTGTACCTAAATGAAAGATTTTGACAAACTTTTACCTCGAGCAGGTGGTACGTATACATGTATTATAAACAAGACAAAGAAAATCAAGGAAAACTGGTTTTTATGTACATTTACATGTAAATCACTCCATTTGATTTGTGCAACACATTTTGTAACTGATAAAATTGGAATGATTTACATAGTAAAAAACAGTTTTTATTGATTTTCTTTGCCTTATTTATAACATACCACCCCCTCGAGATAGTAGTTAGCAGAAGCTCTCACTTGGGCGCATCTGATGAATCACTTTTCATGCCAAGATTTTGCGAACTGGAGACTAATCTAACGAAATAAGACAAAATGGACGCAAATTTCGAAGGTGTATTATTCTATAGGGATATGTTATTTTTCCACATTTTATATATCATATTGTTCGTGGAGACACAGGCAACAACTTTATTTAAAGGCTCTTTGAGTGCTTTGGCTGAGATTTTAGATAAAAAATTAAAAAATGCAATTTTTATGTAACAAATCGTGTGACTGATAACGATATCAGGAAATTGCGCAACATACCTATCGCTATTTTCTTTTCATAGCGATAGTTTATAAAGATTTAAGATAAATCAATTTTAGTTTTCGCTTACCAGTAAATTATTTTTTATTTTCAAGTATTACTGTTCTTGAAATACAAGAATATTTTTTTTTGCTTTTTTACTTTTTATCATCAAATAAAGTTTCAACAAATTATAGAAAGAATACACAATGATAGGGACAACGACGACGGTAACGGGGACTAGCGACCTTAAATACATAATATAGAAAAATACATGTTAGATACGTATATTGTATTCATGCATTGCGAAAATTCAAAATGTGGTAAATATTATCTGTGTTCCAAAACCTTTAAATTCTCTTAACTTACAAATTCGCACGTAATGCAACTACATGTATTCTTTAATGCGATTCCGTGATCTTTACATTTCTTCAACTGATTGCTTGTCAAAGGAGCTTCGATTTGTTGAATTAAAACATCCAAGTTTGGATCATTTATAGCTTCCAAAATGATTTCTACATGCTCGTCCGAAATATGTGAATATGGGAATTCCAAAGATTTGAAATGTATTCCTTTTGCTCCATGCAAAAACAATTTGAGAGAATCTGCAGAAAATTTTAAATATCCTTTAATTGAAAAAGTTTCCAATCTTTTGGATAAATTTTTACCAAGTTCATTAATAAATTGGTCACCAATATAAGTGCCACAATCGATTCTTAGAAATTTTAAATTTGTAAAAGAGCTAAGGTATGATAATAGTTGACAAGTTTCTGAAAATAATGATAGCGAGAAAATAATTTCAAGGGTAGATAGATTAGGGCAAGTTTTTGATGTTGATTCTAGAAGTTCTGCACTATCAGTTAAGGAGATTGTTAAAGAACGTAATTGTTCTAATGATGTTTTTGAATTTGGTATTTGGAATATATTATAATTGTAGTTGCAATCTTTAAATTCGATTTCAAGGAAAGTATTCGTTGTGCTATCAATCAAATTATGGCAAATCGCTTTAAATGTTTCAAGGAGACTTTCCGGGTTATAATTCTTTTGCGATTCTTGTTGATTGTGATAGCGTTTTGATTTTGATCGATTAAGGCGAATCGTTTTAAGTTTTCCAAGGAGACTTTTCGGTGGATCATTTTTTCGTGATTCTTGTTTATTATGATTATGATAGCATTCTGAGTTTGTCCAATTAAAAATTGCCACTGATAAAGATCCCAAAGATAACTGTTTAATAAAAATATTATATTGAAATAATGGTCTTGATTCTTGTTCATCCTTATCAAAGCAATTTAATAGCGTCGAAATAAATATTGCGCTAGCTTTTTCCGAGATCAAAGGAAACGGTCGTCTCCATAATAATGGAATTGCTGTATTACACCAATGACGGTTCACTAATGCAAAGTGAAATAGTTGTTGTCTGTTACAATTGAATTCGTTGCTATCTTCTGATACGGCAAAATGTTTGAATATCTCATGGAGACATAACTCTACGAATGTGGATGCCATTTTTACTGTGTTTGAAAATAAAAATGTGGTTACGTATCAGAACATAACGATAACGATAACGATAAATGCTATTTAGTAGTACAATATCCGTAAATAGATAGATAAGTTCTTGAAGAAGTGAAAAAAATCGATGCGCATGACAATACGCATTTGTTTTCTATACATGTACCGGTACCAGTGGAATCGGGAAATGATCGGTATGTAGATCACAAAATTGGGGGTGACTTTTAATTACATGTAATATCGATATCACTCGACTTCTATTTAAATAAACTACAATAAAAAATACGTATATCATTTTATTCGGCAAAAGTAGGGCTATTCATACATATATTTTAATATACCCATTTGTATCAATCACAGCTTGCATACTTTCAGCAAAATTTCCAGTTCGATTTTTTCCCATTCCTCTGCAAGTGCATCCATCAATTCTTCTTGATTTTTGGGATAAATTGGTCATGCACGAATTCGTCTTTCCAAAACATCTCATAAATGCTCAATTGGATTTAGATCAGGACTCTGGGCAGGTCATGGAAGTAAAGTTATTAAATTTCTCTCTTTCCATTCATTAACTGGATTATTTCTGTAAACTGGAGCATTATCATCTTGAAAAAGATGAACCGAACTAGCTGGCAATTCATCTAAAAATGGTGAAGATGCTGTTCAAGTATTTCTACATATTTTTGTACCTTCAACTTCGATTAGTGATCCATACCATTACTCCACGATTACCTGATTTCATACTAGGAAGAACATTGCCGCGAATCATTTCTGAATATTAAATATCTTGATTCATCACTCCAAATTACTGATTCCCATTCACGAACCCAATCTTTATCTCTAGACACCATTTTAATCGTTTTCCTTGGATATAAAAGGTTTTCTTAGTCCAACCCAACCAAAAAACCCATTTTCATGAAGATTACGACGTATGGTTTTAGAAACTTCCAAAGCAGTATTGCATTTTTCGGTAACTTCGTTAATTGCTTGTTGTCGATTTTCTTTTACAATATTAATTATTCTTCGGGTGGCTCTACAATTTAATATTCGTGGTCTACCGCGTCGGAAAGCAACTGTGGTTCGGCCAAACTTTTTATATTTGTGTATAACGTTATGAACTGTGGATTTGGATCGTCTTAGAGTTTCTTCGATTTCTTTTTCGGAAAAACCACACTTCCAAGCACCGATTATCTCGTCGCGCTCAAAATCCGTAATCTGGCAATTTCTGCGAGTGTTGGATGGATTTGACATAACTTTTTTACGTCGTTTGAAAGCTTACGATTTCAGCTTTCTAACGAGCTATTGCACGTTATTTGTGTGTTGTACAATTAACGATTATAGTCACCCCATTATTTACGTCGATCACTCCCGATTCCGATTCCAAAGAACCGAGTAAGTATTAGTATTAGAATAATTATACGCAGATACTCATCAAAATATAAATATTTAATAACTACTTATAGCAAGTAACAACTATACATGTATAAAACGATCCATAGTTGTGGGAAAATAATAATTATAAGTAAATTTTTGATCTGCAGATGATACAACTCCGGCAAACAAGACATGAAAAAACAAAAAATGTAAAAATACGGGAAACAGATGTCGAAATCTAGCTTAATACACTAACAAAAAATGTCGGAAAGGCAATTTTTGTATATAAGCATTATATCAGCTCTAACTCTAACTCTAACTCTTTAAATTAATCTTTAACAATAATCTCTATTCGATATTTCAAAAATTGTATGTAAAAAAATCACACGAAACTTCCCACAATAATGTTTTCTTTAATTATCCAGGATGCATACTTTATAAATATTGCGTTTATGCACAACTAGGGTCACACTTTATGACTAGGATCAAAGTTTTCCAAGATAATTAAATAATGCGTTCTGAATTAGTTTGACATTTGCTCACTTTCTTTTTCTTCGTTCTTTATTGAAAAAATGGAAGATAATTTTCTTCAATCATTCTCTGATTTGCCAAACTCTTATGCAGAAGATTTACAAAAACTGGCCTTTCAAGAAAATGTATATATTTTATTAGCAAGTTTATATTATAAACCAATATATTAATTAACTAATTCATAACAAATTAATTATATTTTTAAGAAGGAGAATATCGAAGCAATTAATTCTAATTACAGTGATATTGAAACAATTATTTATTAATTTTTATTATTTATTAGATTCAATATGCAATGGGAAAACCTGGAGGTGTACTAAAAGTTTTTTGTCCTTATCTTGATGTCAAAGTCAAAATAGAAACTCAAACTTGTCTTGGAATCAAACTATGTGAATTTGCAGTATTAGAGCCTCATAATACATCACATGAATCAGTGGATTCTAATTCAAATCTTGAATGTAAAATTAATACTGAACTTACAAATAATAATATTGATAATAATACTTTTGTGTAATTATTTATTAATAATAAATTAATTAATATTATTTTTTATTTTAGATTATTTTAGCAGCTCGTGAAATATCTTATCAGGTTAAAAGAAATAATATGTTCTGAAATGGCACTCCTATTATATGAAATTGCATCAAAAAGATAATTTATCTATAACTTTTTTTATTGGTTGTTCTGGATGCAAGCTGGTGAAAAATTTTATCAATTTATAAAAATAAATAATAATACCAATATTGATCTTTCACAAGGTTTATTGTTACGTGGATTTTGTGTTTCTATTAAAAAGGAAGGATTTTCCTATAAACGGCAGTTTTTGGGAGAGCAAGAGTTTTGGACGACAGTTGGTGTTGCCTGTGCCGATATCTACGGATATCGTATTTGAATTTGGGGTAAGTATGTTTCCTTTGTTTAATAATTCTAAGCCTAGTTTGGTTTTCAATTATCTACAGCTATTTCGGATTACCGTCGTCGATCTTCTAACGATGCCTTTTCTGGATTAAGGTCCTAACCGTCAGCAAATTCAATCAATTACTAGAGGGGATTTTATAAGTCTTATTTTACTTGGAGAATAACTGTACGCAACAATTCTGATATTTTATTGAGGCCCGTAGAACTTTCTTATATACATTTTTTAGTTTACATATAATTTATTCTTATAAGACTATTAAGGTAAAAGAATAATGCGATTCAGAGAGGAAAATAAAGAAAAAATTAAGAGTTTTGACCATAATAATAAGACAAATTGATGAAAACGTTTAAGAGAGAAAATTGTGATTTTAATTAAAAGATAATAATAAAAAAATATATATTAACAAGAGATCTACAAGGAAAAAGAGAGAAAACCTTGAACAAAAGAAAGAAAAAAAGATAAAAGAAAGAAAAAAAGATAAAATAAAAGAGAATATCAGACGGAATGTTTGAGAAAGTAAACCGCGATTAAAAGGAATGTTTGAGAAAAAAAAAGAAAACCGCGATAAAAAAAGAGAACATGCGGAACATACATATGGGGGTATGGTGCATAACATCTAAAGTCATCAAACGTTTGTATTTTACAAAATGTATAAACATCTTTACAAAGAAGTAAATGTAAAATTTAATCCGTGAATATGATAGAATAGGTCCTTTCTGAGCATATTCACGGATTAAATTTTGTATTTACTTCTTAGTAAAGATGTTTATACATTTTATAAAACACAAACGTTTGATGACTTTAGATGTTATGAACCATATTCTTCTACAGATTTTGATGTATCGGTATAGTTTTCTTTTCATATTTCATACAAATACGAACAAAAACATTGCCATCTGATATAAAAACACGACGCCAGATTTTATTCCATCACTGGCAGAAAGAAGTGCGTTCAACATCAAATTACGAAGTTTCCGAGGATTTTCCAAATGTGCCTGTTTTACTTTTAACGGCAACGTGTAGTCAAGCAACTGTTCAAAAAATAATGACAAGTTTGAATCGTTTTGATTTTCATATAATCTGAAATTCTACCCTATATCGACCTGAAATAATATTAGAAGTTGTACCAAAACCAAGCAAGCTTGAAAAACTCTTTGAAAATATATGTAAATATTTGGACTCTATTACCTTAGGACGCGTAATTATTTATATTGTAACGAACTAGCAATCTTTTGACTTTACATTACGATGCATCAATTGTGGGAAAGTATCATGGATCCTTGAATGACGCAGCAAAGAACACTAATTTGGCCAGGTGGAAAAATGGATGTATTAGAATTATGTGTGCTACCAATGCATTTGGGATGGATATAAACGTTGCTGACATTCAGATTATAATACATACTACTTTCCCAATATCATTAGTTAACTTTATCCAAGAAATTGGACGCGCCGCCCGAGATGGTCAAGAATCAAAAAGCATTTTATTTTTTTCCCAGGCTGATGTTCAAAATTTGTTATATATTTTGACAGACAAAAGAGCAAGGTAAATATTGATATGTGTTACTGTAACAATTCAAAAATACTGAACCATTATTCTTTTAGTTCTTATAAGTTTTCAGATAATACACAATCTCAGCTATATGAAGCGCAAACTAATAATACATCGATTGAACAATATCACCTCGCAAAGAGAACAAATAAAATTTTAGAAATGGTATCATTATGCGAAAGTGAATACTAATGCCGGCAACAATTAGTATATGATGGATATCGTTGGCCCAGCGACAATTTAATTCCTGAATATCAGAAATATGATAATTGCAAGCAGTGAATCAAAGATGGTGCCATATGACATGATGTATGAGAGGATGTTTTGCATTTGTTACGAATCATAAAGCAGTTTTTGGAAAGATGTCATGCCCGTGAATCTACTACTACCTTTTTCCACGTTAGTAGGAGTGATGTTGGTGATGTTTTCATAATGACCAAGAATAAGGATTTTGTTGCTAAAGGATTGATGACTCTCGAAGAATATGGAAAACAAAACAAAAAAAGTCCAATAACCTCAAAATCTGTTTGTTTATGCTTATATGACCAGTTAGTTTTAAAAGGTCTTGTACAACAAAATGTAATATTAAAACCAATTCGACCAGGTTCAGCAACTCTAATACTTACATATGAAATTATTGGAGTTAATCCAAATGCCACTTTGTTGGCTACAGACAAAGAGTGGAAGATGTTTGCAAAACCAAATTAATATTTTATTTAATAATGATAAATCTACATAAACGTAATCTGGTGTTACAGAGTTGTGGTATGTGATATAGAAATGTGATATTGGGAAAAATGTCGGTAGTTAATCATGTGGTTTGCGTATAAATTGAATGATCCCAATTATGCGAGATATCCTACCCTAAAGCAAAGAAATTTCTTCAAGAAAGTGTTCCCGAAATTATAGATTGGAGTATTGCCAAAAGATAGAAATAATTATATAACTTTAAGAGTAATAATTAATATAATTTATGTAAATATATTATTTTAGTCTATTAGAGTGAATGGTGGAAAATTTTTGTGATATTGAAGAAATTAACCATCAGTTTGTACAAATTCTACAAATAGGTATTATTAAAGCAAGAAGTAATAAGAAAAGCGTATGCCAAAGAATTGGGACGTTTTATGATAGAGGAGTGGGTCAGTATTCCCAAAAAGTTTTAATTAATCCCATAAATTCAATGCCGAGACGTTGTGAGAATGTATTAATTTTTAGTTTTTTATGTTTGTAATGGTCCGAGTTTAAACTTTTAAATAAATGATTAAACATCGAATTTAATGCAACGATGATTTAATATTTAGTCAGAAAACTTGCTCTATATTATAAAAAACATATAAAGGTTTGAAAAAATAATTGGAGATACAAAGAAATTATCGATTTTACCTCAATTTTTTTAAATCATTTTCAATAAACGATATTTTCTTAAAATAGTTATTAAATAGTTTATATAGTTATCTTAAGAAAAGCTTAATTAAAAAAATTAAACAAAAATTTTAAATTATTATATTAAAACCTATATTATTTTCACAATTAAAATTCATCAATTCAACTAAAAACTTGTATATAAAGTTAATTAGATAATATAAAAAACTCAGGAACTTCTCCAGAATAACGTAACGGTTCAGGAAAAAGTTTAAAAACCTGTTTTTTTCTGAAAGTAACTGGATAATTTCCTGAAAATTTTTTAAATATTTTCAGAAAAAAATAACCTGTTCTTTTCTGAAAATATCTGTATATTTTCTGAACTGTTATTTTTTTTATTTAAATTCTGGAGATTTACCAGTAAATAAAATCAATAACAAACCAAAATACCTGGGTGCTTTTCTCAATATTTTGATAGTTATAGAGGGAAAGAAGTTTGGACGATATGTATCATATGTGCGTTTTCTCGATGCTTTGAAGGAGTTCGAATGATATGTATCATATTATAGCTAATGAAATTAGTATACTTAGGTTGGGAAATATTAAGATAATGACGGTGTGGGAATTTTATACCCGTAAAAGAGAGTACTTTAGGTAAAATTAATGCGTGGGTAAAACAATTGTAGTTGCTAATATAGTAGCACGACCAGAGAAGAGAGTTGTACGTTAATGGCTTTGGGACCATGTCTCCTTCCCATGCAATCATGCTACTGTATTACTTAAATCATCTTCTCTTACACGGTGTCTTAGGAATGAAATGGGTTATTAGTGCTATTAATATAGAGAAATTTATAAACATAATACTTGCATGGTTTGTCTTGCATAACTCAGTTTATTTTGTTTTTATTTGGTATGATAATTAGATAAAAACGCATCTTTCCTTACAAAGATCCTAAAACAAAAATGAAAAATTACTTTGTTTTGCATGTTTTCTCCCTATATTGTTCTCTTCATTCTGTTTGAACTACTTTTATTGTTTTCATTATTTTTCTTACTGGGGTCGATCATCTTTGGCTATGGTATCAATTATTCATGCTTCTAAGCCCTAAGCGATGAGTTGACAATTTATCATACCAGCAAAAAACTCGGATATATGAGTTTGGTTGAGGTGTAGTAAATTCTTCAATAAAAGAAGTGACGCAAATTTCTAACTACGTATGGTGTATTGGTAAACGAATCAAATCAAATCGTAGATAGAGATGGCGCAGCAAGTATGTGACACTTATTTGTCACCCATTGCAACACGTTGCAACTCCAAAATTTTATAAGCCGCAACTAGTTGCAACTAGGTGATGCTTTATTTGTCACCACGTTGCAACAGTTGCCGCGTCATCTTTAATCGTAGACAATCTAAAAATTTCGTTTTATGCTTAATGTATTGGAGTCATAAAAAAATGCTCCAGCAGTAATAATGACGCACATTTTCAGCAGTCTTTTTAATACGTACATATTTATTCTAAAGTGTAAAACTTTTTCAAAAACTGTGAACAAGCTCAAGACTGCTCTCTCTATCTCTGAAGGAAGCGTAGTCAAAATTTAATGTGTTAGTTTTGCCGTAAGGAATCAACGTGATATTGAACCCATACAGAGTAGAGAGGGTGGGTAATGTGTATTAATTGATGGCGACTGTACATGTATAAATTACGCATTCATGTTTAATTACTCTTCATTTAATGCACGTTGTGGGCGTACGCCGTGTTCCCGTATCATTTTTCATGCATAAATCGTTTTACAAACATAAGTTAACGATGATTTCCAAATCATAAATCACCGTTTTTTAAATAAAACACTGCCATAATTACTAAAAGATGGCATCTAAAACTCATGATTGTAGTAAATGCTGGGAATGTTGGCATGCTAAGTACAACTACTGCAAAGCGTGTTCAGTTCACAATATTCATTATTGTAGTAATAACTGTTTGGGTTGTAAATACTACGAGTACTGCGATGAGTGTTCAGTTCACAATACTCATGATTGTAGTAAATGCAGGCGTTGTCAAGAATCGAACTACTGCCCTCCATGCCATGTATTGATTACCACAAACGAATTTATGTTGTTGAATGGTCTAGTGGAAACAAAGATATCGACAGTCTAATAAATGAATGCAAGGAAATTAGAGAATCTTTTGAATGGATCCCTTTTGAAAGATTTACCAATGTTGAATATCTTGCAAAAGGAGGTTTTGATTCAATTTATAAAACATCCTGGTTGGATGGACCATTGAATTTCTCTCTTGGATTGGGATCATGAAGAAAATAGATTTAAACGACGAGGAGAAACTGACGTAAGTTGAAATTATTACACAATTCAAAGCAAATTACATTCGAGTTTATAAACGAGGTAAAATGAACACCTTTTAAGTGTAAGCATATTGTTTTTTGATTTTAATCTAATTAACTTTTTCAAAATTAGATTCAGACTGCACTAAAGTGCAGTGATAGAAAATAACTAAAAATTCAGCTACAAATGAATATTCGGTAGTGATGATTTCTCATGATTGTAGTGAATGTACCGATTGTCAAAAAATGAATACTGCCCTCCATGTATTGAGTACCACAAACGAATCGAATTTTCTAGCGAAAATAAAGATATCGACAGTTTAATAAATGCATGCGCGGAAATTAATAGAACTTTCGAATGGATCCCTTTTCGAAGATTTACTGATGTTGAACATCTTGCAAATGGAGGTTTTGGATTAATTTATAAAGCATCCTGGTTGGACAGTCCATCGGATACCTTTGAACTGGAAGTGGGACCATAGAGAAAATAAATTTAAACGATCGGGAAAACGCGAAGTTGTGTTGAAATCATTACACAATTCAAAGCAAATTACATCCGAGTTTAGAAACGAGGTAAAATGAACACCTTTTAAGTGTAAGCATATTGCTTTTTTGTTTTTCAATCTAATTAACTTTTTCAAAATAGATTCAGACTGCTCTAAAGTGCTCTGGTGGTAGTAGTTATGAAATAAGGTATTATGGAATAACTAAAAACCCAGCTATAAATGAATACTCGATAGTGATGGATTATGCAAAAGATGGCGATTTACGCAAATATATGAATTCCAAATACGAAGAATTGATTTGGAAAGCGAAATTAGAATATTTAATTAGTATTACTTCAGGGCTGAGTAAAATTCACAATAAAGAATTTGTGCATCGTGACTTTCACCCTGGAAATATATTAGTGTGGCTTAATGATGCTTTCATTGCTGATTTTGGACTTACCAAACCAGAAAATTTAAATAAATCTAACCAAGAAATTTACGGAGTACTTCCTTATATGAGTCCAGAGGTTCTAAATGGAAAGCCGTACACTAAAGCTGCAGATATTTATAGTTTCGGGATGATCACGTACGAGATTGCCACAGGTGAACGACCATTTGGTAAACGAAGTCATGATCACTATCTTGTATACGACATCTATAACGGAGTACGACCGACGATACCAAATAATGTTCCCGGATGGTGCAAATTTATTATTGAAATATGTTGGAATCCTATTCCAGAAAACAGACCAACTGCTAAGGAACTTGATAACTTTATCAAACCTTTCAACGGATATAATATAGATCCGAATACTTTGCATTTTCAGTACTTCGGCTCTTTAGAAAATAAGACACATGAAAAAATTAAAGAGTGTCTCAAACTGGAAAAGCAGAAATTAGATGAACTTGACGAGAAGATGAAAAGCGTTCCTACGAATATAATAAAAAACAAATAATCCACTCAAACGCAATTTACACCAGTCGAATGTTCACGTCAAAATTAATTTCAATTCCAACTGACACAGGTATTTTCTATTTCTAAATATAAATCATATTTGCATTTCACAGTAATTAAAATTCATTTATTTAGGCAATACAAGTATCAGTTTGTTTGTTCCAAGCGATTCCGATTTTAGTATCCCATATGAAATCAAAGAGAATGAAGAGATATCGAGTAACTTGCAAGAAAAACTACAGATTTAAGATGAAAAACTTGCAACAAAATAGGACAATGTCAAAAAAGGAATGGTAACTACTTCACTTTTAATTTAACTTAAATTAAATTAAATCAATGATAATAAAAATTTTAGAGTCTAAACATTAGAAATCCTGACGGATCGATATTGATATTAACTGTGTTTGTTTGAGTTCACGCATATATTTTAATTTTTTTCAATTAGATATAGCGATTGTAGGTAGTTTCATTTATCACATTAACGTTAATATTATCGTTATCGGTAGTAATTTATTGCAGTTTTACACTACATAAATACTCTTTGAATTCTAAAATTTCGA